AATAATAATTTGTGTTTAATAATAATTTGTATTTAATATGATCATTTGTATTTAATATGATCATTTGTATTTAATTTGATCCTTTGTATTTAATAATAATTTGTATTTAATAATAATTTGTGTTTAATAATAATTTGTATTTAATAATAATTTGTATTTAATAATAATTTGTATTTAATATGATAATTTGTATTTAATTTGATCCTTTGTATTTAATAATAATTTGTATTTAATAATAATTTGTATTTAATAATAATTTGTATTTAATAATAATTTGTATTTAATAATAATTTGTGTTTAATAATTTGTATTTAATAATAATTTGTATTTAATAATAATTTGTGTTTAATAATTTGTATATTATAATTTGTATTTAATATGATAATTTGTATATTATAATTTGTATTTAATATGATCATTTGTATATTATAATTTGTATTTAATTTGATAATTTGTATTTAATAATTTGTATTTTAGGGGTCAGATTATCAGTAACCTAGGTGATTGTTTAAACAATGAATTAAAGGAATGTTTACCAATATTTCTAGAAAGATTAAAAAATGAAATTACCCGGTTAACTTCAGTCAAGGCACACACCATGATAGCTAGGTAAGTTTGTGGATCCTGTCTACCAGCTAGTCCTTGACCAAACCTCTTGGTATTGATCTTTCTTGGATTATCTGTACCCATTTACAGCTGGGTTGACTGGAATAATGAGGATCCTTTCTACCAGCTGGTCCTTAATCAAACCTCTTGCTATTGATCTTTCCTGGATTATCTGTACCCATTTACAGCTGGGTTGACTGAAATAATGTGGTTCCTTTCTACCAGCTGGTCCTTGACCAAACCTCTTGGCATCTCTCCCAGATTATCTGTACCCATTTACAGCTGGGTTGACTGAAATAATGTGGTTCCTTTCTACCAGCTGGTCCTTGACCAAACCTCTTGGCATCTCTCCCAGATTATCTGTACCCATTTACAGCTACAGGACTGGAAAAGGAGGCTTTAAAGACGTCAAGGTTGTGATTTTAATGCAATGACTATACGCTGTTACCTTTGCTTGTGGTATGAGCCTCGTTCTGGATCCAATATGGCCGACGCTCGGAATGAGTCTAGATGAATGAATCTGCTTATTTTTTCAGTTCTCCGTTAAAGATAGACATAAGACCAATTCTAGATGAAGGCGTTCCAATCCTCGCTTCTTTTCTTCGTAAAAATCAACGAGCGTTAAAACTCAGTACTTTAATCTGTCTGGATGTTCTCGTCAAAAATTACGGTAATTTTTTATTTTTTACTTCAAACTTCTGTTGCTAATTACAAGTGAAACAGTCGTCAAAATATTTGAAACAGCTGATTACCTTGTAAGCTATCTGTGTCACTTTTTACAATTGAAATTTAATGTGTAGTTTACCTGCAATTTAAATAAAAACATATAAAAAGTCACATTATTTATCTTTTTGTGATCTGATCAACGCTTGCTTGCTAACCTGAAGGTCCAGGGTTCAATCCAAGCATAGGTTGAGATAATACTTTGGGATTTTTCAATCCAGTTTCCCCATGTCAGTGATACAGGTAAGAGGGGCTGACATGAAGCGTCTAGTCATTCAGATGGGACAATAAACCGAGGCCCTGTGTGCTACAGGCTGTGCATGTTAAAGATCCCTCGACAGATATTGAAAAAGACCGAGTTAATGCTGTTGTCCTGGCAAAATTTCCCTTATTGTACACTGCATGGCGTTGTATTTATTCTTGTTTTTCTGTAGGGCAAGCTTTAACATCTTCAATGATCAATGACATGATGAAAGAAATGCCAGCACTTATTAATGAAAATGATCTCCATGTTTCACAGGTAATTTCCAAGCAAAATTTCCCTCATTGGCCACTGTATGGCTTGTCCCCCATCATTAACCCAATGCCAACAACTCTAATGCCTTTTCAATGAGTCAATGAAAAGAAGAAATAGAATGTTCTTTCATTAATTTTAACTGGGTGACTGCCATCGTATCCCAGAAACGGGTTTTGACGTGGTCTTCTTAACCCATATTAAACTAAGCCCACAACACTTCGTTTTGTGGGCATGGAAATGAGATGGTGCTATTTAAATCTGACCAATCAGATTGGTAGAATAGAAATGAGGTCATGTAAACAAAGGAAAACATCGCTTTGCCGCCGCCCGTTTGAAGAGATAAGAACTCATTCTTTCCAAGTAAATATTTTAAAGTAAAGGTTTGATTTTCTCTCGTCTTTAACGAAAATCTTACTCAATTCTGTATCGTACATAATCATCAAAATATATAATGGCACGCTGCTTTCGTTTGTTTACGTACGCAAACAAAGCGTCATAACAAGTGATTTGATCTAATTGGCTGAAATTTCATGGCTCAACTTATCAGTAGGGTGTAAAACTCCCATGTGATTTTATTTCAGCTAACCCTACAGTTATTGACATCGATAGCTAGAGTCCATAAATCATCTATACCCAATATCCAGGGGGAAATCCTGTCCCAGATTCTCATATTGATACAGTCACCTTTACTACAAGGTGGAGCCCTCAACGCTCTACTGGAATTCTTCCAGGCAGTCGTTCAACTAGGTTTACCTAAACTAGGCTTTAAAGACATTCTGCAGGTAAGATGAACCCTTTTTATACTCACCCCTATCCGTCCGTCGTTCCGTCAACATAGATTATTTGATGGAATCAAATGAAATTCGGTATGTGTATACATATTCATAGAACGAAGATCAAGTTTGAATTTGAGCTAATTTCGACCGTTAGAAGCAGAGTTATTGCCCTTGCCCCGAAATCTTCAATATGCTATTACTCTCTTAGTTTTCAACGGATTTTGATGAAACTTAAAATGGATGTTTGGTTTTTACCATCCGCATGCCATCAACCCAGCTGTAAATGGGTATGGATAATCCAGGTCTGTCCTTGTGAAATATGGGCTCTCCTTATTTTTCACTCGGCACCCGTTTAAAAATGCGATTCTTTAATTTCAGATGCTGATATTACCAATCTATAACCCGGCATCCAAACCTCCCCATGCGGGTTCATCTTTTACCATACATAAACAGGCTTTCCATTCTATAGCCAAATCAGTGGCTGCTCTGACCAGAATCAACCCAGAGAAAGCTCCCAATGTTGTCAATCAATTTGTTAGTGATATCAAGGTTGGTAGTTTGGTTTTTGTACCCACCTTAAATTAATTTTCGTAAATTTAGTCCCATTCACTTATTGCTTATATTATCAAGGTTGGCAGTTTGTATTTTATACCTACCTTAAATTAATTTTCGCAAATTTAGTCCCATTCACTTATTGCTTATATTATCGAGGTTGGCAGTTTGTATTTTATACCCACCTTAAATTAACTTTGTTAATTTTAGTCACTCTTTGTCTAGGATTTGACTTTTCTTGATACTTTTAAGGATGAAAGGTTAACATATAGTGTGTCTACGATTAAATCAATTTTTTATTTTCTCAGATGATATAGTTCAAGTTTGTCTTTTCTTGATACTTTTAAAGATGAAAGTTTAACATATGATGTGTCTACAATTTAATTAATCATATTGCTCCATGATATATGTTCAAATTTTTACTTCAGAATTCAAAATCTACAGATTCTATTGTGTTATTTTCCTTGTTGGCTCTCGGTGAAATTGGCAAACACATGTAAGTTTGGTCTTTTGTCCTTTCGTAAACTTTGTCCTTTGATGGATTATCTGTACCCATTTACAGCTGGGTTGACTGGAATAATGAGGATCCTTTCTACCAGCTGGTCTTTGATCAAACCTCTTGGCATTGATCTTTCCTAGATTATCCCTACCCATTTACAGCTGGGTTGACTGGAATAATGAGGATCTTTTCTACCAGCTGGTCCTTGACCAAACCTCTTGGCATTGATCTTTCCCAGATTATCCCTACCTATTTACAGCTGGGTTGACTGGAATAATGAGGATCCTTTCTACCAGCTGGTCCTCGACCAAACCCCTTGGCATTGATCTTTCCCGGATTATTTGATTCTGTTGACTGGAATAATGATTCATGGTCCTCATATAAGAACCCACAACCACCATTTATAATCCATAACCAAGCCAATGATGTCATTTAAAGATTTCAACGCCCTAACCGACTGAGCTACATCCGGCCCCCAAATACATAATTAAATCATGATTAACAATGTTAGGTTTGTTTTTCCAGTGATTTGAGTGGACAGGGTGAAATCCAGACGGTTATTCTAGAATCTTTCTCCTCACCTAATGAAGAAGTCAAATCTGCTGCCTCGTACGCTTTAGGTAAGTTGTTCGTGGACTCTCCAAAAGATATGTACCGGTTTCCCCCTGTCAGTGATGCAAGTAAGAGGGGCTGGCATGGAAAAAACGTCTAGTAGTTCAGATGGGACAATAAACCGAGAATTTACTCAAGATTAGCCTCAGCGACAAAATTCCACGACACAAAGACTATTTGTGTGTCCAAGACGTGCGTGTGTCCGTATTTTAGCAGCAATATGGTAATGTGTCTCTATGATGTATCTTTGTCATTACAGGAAATGTATCCGTTGGAAACATGCCCAAGTTTTTACCGTTTGTTTTACAAGAAATCGAAAATCAACCCAAACGACAATATCTATTATTACATTCATTAAAAGAGGTAAGAATTGATCTCGTTTATTTTGGAACTGCGTCTTGGGTCAGCTTTAAAGATGGGTTCCCTTATTTTTTATTTTTTATTTATGAAAATGAAAATGCTAATACTTATATGAATAGAAAGTAGAGGTGTTCTAATGACTTAGAAAAATACCAGTTTGTCTCACATGTCCATAATTAATTCATAATTAGCTAAATTAGAAGAGAATTACCAACAGAATTCCAATGAGTGACCGATCAAGAAAGGTCAAAAAGTCTTTTTTTTTGTATATCCAGACTGTATTATATGCTTTTGTTTTTCAGATAATTAGTTGTGAATCCAGCTCGAAAACTGGGGTAGAAAATTTAAAACCATTTGTACAAACTATATGGTAAGTTGCCTTGAATCAATCCAATTAAATTATTACGTTTTGTACTTTTTCTGTGGGCGACACTACTTGTGCTATGAATGATCTGACCAAATTGTTTTGTGCCACACTGTTTTGTGTGCTACAGGCTATGAACATTAAGTTCCCTCGACAGTTGGAAATAGAAAAAGAGCAGGCTTATGCTGCTGTCCTGGCAAAATTTCCCTCATTGTACACTGCATAGCGTCGTTTAGAAAATTGAGAGCTGAAATTCATCCGTCTGCTTTTTTTTCCCTAAAGGTCCATGTTGTTTAGTCATTGTGAATGTCCAGAAGAAGGGACACGGAACGTTGTGTCCGAATGTCTGGGAAAACTGACCCTGATTGACCCCGAGAATCAGTTACGTAGTCTACAATCTCACCTGACGTCCGAGTCTGCTTTAACCAGAAGTACTGTAGTCACAGCTATCAAGTTCACTATCTCAGATCAGGTAAGTTTCATTCATTCATGCAGGCATTATTAAAGGGACAGGTTCGCCATTTTTGGGGGGTTGATTTGAGTCTTGAATATATGTAAATAGTCCTCAGAAGTACTAGAAATGTACGAAAATCGCATAATTCCTTTAAAAATGTTATCTTTTTTCCAGCCTCAACCAATAGATGCTCTGCTAAAAGGCTGTATTGGAGATTTCCTACGAACACTCCAAGATCCAGACTTGAATGTTCGACGCGTTGCCTTGGTTACATTCAACTCTGCTGCTCACAATAAACCGTCACTGATTCGTGATTTACTAGAGTCAGTTTTACCCCATCTTTATAACGAAACCAAAATGAGGGTGAGTTTTTCAGATAATTTGTTTCCTTTATTTTCTGTGAGTACTTCACTCATTCAAGATTGCCTTTTAAAG